AACAGTAACGAGGCCCCGACAGCAAGCCTCCCTAGGCCACTCACGCCGTCACCATACGATGACAACTTGTGTACTTACACCTCCAAACACAGTGCGCGCCAAAGACGATGGGACTACATGAGCTAATTGTCGGACCCCCTTCTCCTGCTCCACCCTTTCCCCCTCTGCTCCCCAAAGTAAGACTAGAACCTAACCCCCTTTGTCCCTTTAAACTTCTTTCCCTTATCCCCCTAATTATTACTGATTGGTTGCTTAAAATTTCGTTAACTCTACACTTCCTTATATTATTGAATTGCCTGAAAATGAATAACTCGAAAACGTTCCTTCGCCTACCTTGACTTCCTGAATGCTTACATGAGTATCTTTACTGAACTTTATGGAGTTACAAGAAAGAACAAGAAGCCGACGCGGAATACCAGATTGGAAGGTAGCCAGGTCCCAAAAATGAATATTTCACCAGCAATTGCCCGTGCGAAATGAAATCAAGGTCCGAGTTGAGGAAACCTCAACTTCGGCAAGTTCGAGTTTTCCATGCACCGGAAGTACGATGTAGGAATCTCGAACGCTTCCACAGGACCTACAAATGAGTTGGACGAAGAAAAAACCCATCAGCCTTCTCCGGTTTAACATCCTACTCTGACTCAGTTAAAGTATCCGCAAGAGACAAAGGGGTTTTCGACAAGGAGAAAACAGCATAGCGCAGAGCCGTGTTGAATGAGGCTTTATTCTGTAGAAGCTGTATTTTATCCTCCGTCAGTTCTTTCGGCGACAGGCTGTACACTAGTATACCATTTCTAGAAAACTCTGGATTCTGCAGTTTGCGGAATTTGCTTTGCGGGGCTGCTTCTTGAATTGCTTGTTTGTCGCGGGCGCGTTAAAGCACTCTCTGCTTAAGAAATTTTGTGTTGTCTTCGCCCATGAACTCATAGCATTTGGCCTCCTTCTGGTCAATTATTTGCGTAGCCTCGCGCGACAATCTTGAATGAACAAACAGACCATTCTCTTGCCAGTATAAATAAATACATTTATATTTAAGGCTCGGAGGGCCTCGTCATTGTAAATTTAGTGCTGTGGAAATATAAATATAAAGTTTATAAATGCTGCACTCTGTGAGCAACAACATAGGCAGCGGAAGCGTTTAGTAAAGAAGGCAGATAAGTTCATATTCACCAACATATCATCATTTTAAGGTAGTAGTAACAATCTAATTCATATTCACCAACATATCGTCGTTTTAAAATAGTAGTCAACACTCTAGAAATCGCATGGTGAACTAAGGAGGAAGCAGTGAAAAAAAACTCTTACCATTAAAGCGGCGGCAGAGTTCAGCGGACCCCCTCTTTAAAAAACAAAACGTAGGAGAAAAAAACTGCTTCTAGAGGATTAAGGAGGTTGGTTGATAGGATGGATTGAAGTGCAATGATACAGGACTGTTGATGAGAACGTATGAGGGTTGGAAACGCTTCCTGTCGTTGGAGAAATCATATATCAGCCGAGTCTGCCGTTCACTACTGTAACATCGCCCGACTGGCTTCATGATCAATCATCAGGGAGGTGAGATCGGAGGAGGCCATCGAGGACAATAGGGTCGAAAAGATGAAGGAACGGTAGAGGTCACGTGATCATC